TCCGCCTAACAACAGGTACAGCTGGAACTCCTGTTCGGGGCAACGTTCCTGCGGGCCTTGTCGCAGCTCAAGGAAGAGGGCGAGGACGACCTCCGTCAAGCTCAAGAAGAACAAGCTGCCGGTGGCGCCGCGTGGGCGGGGGCGGGGGCGGGGGCGGGGCAGCAGCAGCCACCGCAGCCGCGCGAACAGTTTTCTCGGGAAGCGACGGCGGGGTCGTCGGGGGTGGGTGCGGCGGCCGCGCGGGGCGGCCGCGCTTTCGGGGATAGGGAGCTCGAGGTAGGGCGGTCTTGCGTGTAGTTTGTTTTTTTGCGTTTGTAAGGCTGTGGATATTTTTTGACGGTGCTCTTTTCGAGAACGTATTTGGAACCTGTTGCTGTTTGTTTCGTCCGATTGTTTAGTCAATTTACGCTCCTCGCTGGTCGCTTTCTTGCACGCTTTTTCCTGGCGTTGGGGAAATCGGTGTTCAGGCATTGGGCAGCCCGGTCGCCTTTCACGCGCTTCAATGGAAGCTTCTGCGCCTCGAAACCTAACTCTTGTGTTGAACGCTTCTTGTTTTTCGGCAACGATAATCGACGAAAATCAACAAAATGATCAAATACATGCCCCCTGCTCCCCTTCCACCTGGCCCCGCGGCTCCGGTTGTTGCCGTTTTCGCAGATGGCTCTGGAATGTCTTTGTGACTTCCTTGCGGAGCCGACGTTTCTCGTGGAGATGTACGTCAACTACGACTGCGACATGCAGGCAAGTTTTCCTCTGCTTTGGGGCCCACTTTTTATTTTCTCCTCGTCCTCCGCCTCCTCCTCCTCCTTTTCTTGTTGTTGGAAGAGGGATGTCGTCGCCATTCTGCTACAATGTTGTTCATGATGTCCCCGGTTTTTCGATCGCGCTTTTGTTATTCTCTCTCCCTCTCTCTGGCTCCCCCCGCGTGTCTCCGGGGCCCGTCGTTTGCTTGGGGGGGTTCGCGGTGATCCTACCCTCCACTCCGCGTGTGCCCCTCCCGCTCTTGCAGCGGTCCAACCTGACCGAGATGCTGGTGGCCGGCCTGGCGGACGGCGCCTACGCGGGACCGGACCGGCTGTCAGGCGCTCGGGCCGCCTGCGTGGCCGCCCTGACAGCCGCCCTGCGGCGCCTTCACGAGCGGTGCGCCACGGCTGCTGCTGCTTCTGCTGCTACTACTGTGACGGCGAGCGGCGGTGTCGGAGACTACGGCGGCCCTCGTGTCCTCGATGGTGGACTGGGAGAGAGCGAACAAGGACGAATAGGAGAAGGAGGAGGAACAGGAGGAGCAGCAATAGGGGGAGAAGGAGGAGGGCTGGCGGCATCAGTGACACATTCGGGCACGCTTGCTGAAAGTGTCTTGGGGACGCCTACCTCGGCCCTGCCTGCAGCAGCAGCAGCAGCAACGGCAGCAGCCGCGACAGCCGCCGGTACAACAAGCAACGACCGTCCGTCGTCACCCTCCCGCTGCCGCGAAGCCCGTCGGCGCAAGGCCGCGCTAACGCGGGGAGCGCGGGCGTTCGCGAAGAAGCCGAGGGAGGGGCTCAAGCTCCTTCAGCGAGAAGGATTGTTTCGGCGACAGCAGCAGCAGCAGCAGCAGCAGCAGCAGCAGCAGCAGCAGCAGCAGCAGCAACAACAACAGCAGCAACAGCAGCAGCAGTCGTCGTTGGATGCCAAGGAGGTTGCGGCGTTTTTGCGGGCCACGCCAGGCCTGGATAAGGCGGCCGTGGGCACGTACCTGGGAGAGGCAGGGGTAAAGAGGGCCAACGGCCGCGGCGGCGGCGGCGGCAGCAGTCCGGAGGGCACCGTTGCCGTAGCAGCGGTGGCGGAAGCCGTCTCGCCGCCGTCGAAGGAGGGAGGAGGGGGGAGGCGAACGCCTGGAGGGGTAAGCACCAGGGGAGCAACCGCGGTCGTTTACCAGGGAGACACGGAGGAGTTCCACGCGGAGGTGCTGGAGGCGTTCGTGGACACCTTCGACTTTAGGGGGCAGGGGATCCTCGCCTCGCTGCGGATGTTTCTCGGGGCGTTCAGGCTCCCGGGGGAGGCTCAGCAGATCGACCGGATCTTGCACGTGAGAGGGCTACGTTTGTTGTTGTCCGTTCCGTGTCTTGCGCTCTTCGACGTAGTAGGCTCGGTGCAACCCTCCGTGCGTACTACTGCCGTGGCTGCGTCGCTTTTGCTCCCGGCCCGAGCTGGCTGCGTGCCACCACCACCTTGCGTGGGTATGTACGTGCGCGCCTGTTTGCGGTCTGTCGGAAGTTGTACGTCTTTTTTTTGTGATCAGACTTGCGCATGCTCGAAAGAGGCTGTCTCGACGCATCTCAAAGGCAGAATCGAACACCAATGGGACGAGTCGTCCCCGCAGCGCTGGGCAACTCTGCAGGGTCAGCTCAATATGTTTGTGTGATAGTGAAAGCATCTATTTAACGTATTGCAGCAGGCCTTTCTGCTCTCTCGGCGCACGCCTCGTAGTCTACACACGCTTGCTCCCTCGAGTGATAATGTTCCGCTTGACGTTTGATTCTTTCTCTTCCCCCGGGGCAGGCCTTCGCTCAGCGTGTCCACCGGGACTGCGTTGAGGCGGCGAGAGGGATGCTGGCTTCGCCGGACGTGGCATATCTGCTAAGCTTCAGCGTGGTGAGCAGTAGCAGTGTCCCTCCCTCCCCCGCCTACTACAGCGTTCCGCATGCAGAAAACGAACGACTCCGAGTGCGTCCAGCAGAAGTAGAAACTGTGTGCTGTCTCGTAAGAGGCGATCGGTCATGGCCAAACGAATAAGGCAAGCGAGATATGAGTACCCTCACTCCCCCAGGTCAATGGCCGAACAGCTAAGGGATGGGAAACATGAGCATAGCCCCCCCTCTCCTAGTGGCCCTTCCCGTATATTCATCACTGCACCCGCAAACGTACGGTACGTTTTGTTAGAGTATACCCCCCGCCCCTCGCTTGCTCTCCCGATGCGACAGATCATGCTCAACACCGACCTCCATAATCCCAACATCCGCCCCGAGAAACGCATGAGCTGCGGCGCGTTCGTCCGCAACAACGAGAACTACGGCGGGGACATCAGCGGCGGGCGCGACCTGCCCGCCGACTACCTCGAGTCCGTGTACACGTCCATCAAGGAGCAGCCCATCGCCACCTCTGGCGGGGGGCCGGACGACGCTGTCACCGCCCACGGGTGAGGGAGACAGAGAGAGACAGAGAGAGGGACAGAGAGAGAGAGCTTTGCGTGCCAAGCCGGCGTGTTTTCAGGGAGGCCACGAGCGGCGGCGCACGGGCGGGCGTATGATATGTTCAGGTCAACTCGTTTACGTTTTGAAGCCGATTGACTGCCGGCCCATTGGTATTCTTGTTCTACTCTTGAAGTGCTGTCCCGAGGACATGGCAACACCTGAGAGCTCGCCCTTTCCCCGCAGGTCGGGAACCCTTTCTTTTTTTTCATTTGCACGAGCTTCACACGTGAATGAGTTAAGACCAGCTCGTGCTCTTCGACGCCGGTCTTTGTGTAGGGTGGCCAACACACGCAAGTTCGCCCCAGCTCACGCGAGCAGGGAATTCTTTTGCCTACATGATGACCCCCTCCCCCCCCCCCTTAATTTTACGGTTGCGTGCGTGGGTGCGTACTCGATGTACCTTAGATGGCAAGACCTGCTCCGGCAATACGGCGATACGAACACCATGGCGGTGTTCAGCAGCAGCAGCAGCAGCAGCAGCGCCTCAGATAGGATGGAGGCGTGCGGGGGGCGGGGAGTGGGGAAGGAGGAGCTGGAAGAGTACGACCGAGAAGTGATTTCGGCGTGCTGGCCGTCAGTGCTCAAGGCTGCCTCAGCGGCGTTCGCCACGAGGGTGAGTTTTTATTTTTTTCGTGAGACCCCCCCCCCCCCCCCCCCCCCCCCCCCCCCCCCCCCCCCCNACCCCCCCCCCCCCATCCCCGCCCCGGCACCAAGTGGAAATACCCCCTGATCGTGACCTCTTCCTGCAAATGTATAACATTGATGTTTTGTTGCCGAGGTTGCTTCATGTCCTGAGTGTTTGTCTCGTCTCGCCCGTCGATCACGATCTACGTAGATTCAATGCCGGTTTGCGGCGGATCATGTTTTGGTGCTGAGATTGATCTGTATCGTTCTAAGTGTCTTACCCCTCCCGTCGATCGCGATCTACGTAGATTCGCTAGCTGTGCGCGACGGGTTGTGTGTGTTTTTTGCTGAGGTTAGTGGAGATCCTAACTGCCTCTCGGGTCGTTGGATGGCGCATTCTGATTGTTCGGTTGTGGTGTCTGTCCTGGACGGAAATCAACCCTATACCTTGCGGGTGGGGCAGCACAGAGAGCCGCTTGACTCACAACAGTAGAAGGCCCTGTACAACAAAGCGGCATAGTGTTGTTGTGCTATCGATATTGATGCCGCTCTCGCGCACAGCTCCAGTACGTCACGTCATGTTGATGTGCGGCGTGTGGAAGGTTAGTAGATTGCCTCATCCATCTATGTAGCGGGCTAATTTGTGACAATGTTGCTGGTTCATTGTGTGCTTGTTTGTCGCCGCTACTCGATGGCACAGCAAGGGCGAGACGCGTTGGCTCTGGGAGCCTCTGTGGACCTGTTCCTGATCCTTGCGAGGCTTTGCGGTCACCATCGTGGTCTACAGGTGATCACCGCTAGAGTAGCAAGAAAAGGACCCATGGAAATATGCGGCGTGGTGTGTGCATTGGCTTTTTGGGGCCACTGGATGGGTGCCCGTACCCCAATTTGTTTTTTTCAGTACAGACCACCAGGAACCACCGAACGAGCCATGTTCCGTGTTATGTGGGAAATGTGATCGCATAGCGTGTCTTTGGCATCGAAGTAGTACGTGCGACGATAGGTGGCCGCGGTTACGGAGGCACAAATTGTCTTGGCAGCAGCAGCAGTCGGTTGAGAAAGATGTTGTCGTTGTTCTCGGGGTGGTGATTCTCTCGAGGATCATCCATCTCAATGGGGTTTGGTGTGTCGCCCTTGCTGGGTGGTGCCGGCCACAGCAGCAACCCTGTCTTGTGTGGGGGAAAAAAAACAATTGATGTTCGTGCAGTAAAAGAGCACTGCGATGCGTGTGATGCGACCGGAGCGAGGCGCCAAGCAGCGCTTCCATCGGTGGATGACCGGATACCATTTGTGGCTCGCGCCGTTGTTCATGGTGGAGCATTGAGACACGATGTATATCCAATATCTGTTTGAGATGAACCCCCCCCCCCC